CCCCGTACCCGTACCCGTACCCGTCGGGTATGTGATTTTCATCCCCATCCTCGTCCTCGTCGGGTATCGAGTATACTCGTACCCGTACCTGTACCCATCAATTTTTTTATTTTTTATTTTTTGTAAAAAAATATATTTTTAAATTATTTTTTTATTATATTATAATTATAATTAGGTTATTTATCTATCTCATATTATAATAAATAATCACACATAAAAAATATTAAAATTCTTTAATATAATTAAATTGAAAGTGGGTATTAAATTAAAAATAGGAACGTGACGGATATGGGTACGGGTATGGGGCGGGTAAGTACATACCCGTACCTGTACCCGTACCTGATTTAATATATCGGGTTTTACCCGTACCCGTACACGTACCCGGTCAAACCGGGTATTCCCTGTCAAAGTCGGGATAGGTTCGGGTATTACCCGCGGGTATGGGTATATTTGCCATCCCTAGTCTCGAGGAGAGTCTTCAAAAAGTTTTGGCCTTTTGTAGGAGTATTCAAGCCGCCTTTTGGTTTTCAACTTGGAAAGTCATCACTTGCTATTTTTTCTTTTTAGATCCCTAATTTTTGCCTAGGACATATCCTAGTGGGAACTTTTGGTCTTTTTTTTTTTGCTTAGGATGCCCTTTACGGTTTTTCATCCTAGCGGTATTTTGCAAGTGATGTCTTTGGGGCATAACACTTCTTTGCTTTGAAAAAACCTCTTGCCATCTGCCTTTGGGAGGACCAGTGTCTTTGGTGATTAACACTGCTCCCGTCCCATACACCAAGGAGAAAGATGCTACCCCAGCCTACGAGTGTTGAGAGTTCTTTCATGGAGCGAGACTTATGCTTCCTTTGTTAGCCAAATTGAGTCAATGTTTTTGTAAGTCTCCTCTTGTGCATTGAGAATCTTATGATTTTGCATTTGATCACTTTCTTATCCTTGTATGTTTTGAGGAAGTGATCTTCTTATCTACCTTAGACTCAGATAATGCGTTGTAGATGTTCGAAGCTTTGATTAATTTTATTATCTTCAGTCATGTTTGTTTTTTATTTTGTTTTTGTTTTGTTTTGTTTTTTGTTTTTTTGGGGTTTTTGGGCACTATGATTGGTTTTAGATTTTAGTGATAAAAAGGAGAAGGGAATGAAACAGAGATTTATAGAAATGACATATTTTATTGATGAATGTAAAAACTCATACAGGCCCTTACTTGATATGAACTCGTAACCATGGGTGAAGGTCATGAGTTGAGCATGATTTTAAAGATTTTTTTTTGAAGAGAGAACCCTCAACAACTTTTCAACAGACCATTCCGAGATTACTACTTATCATGGTCGTTCGTTGATGTCTAGTGTGTTGGCCTCAAACTTGAGCCGCCTACTGTCGATAAGCTCTTGTATGCAAAGCTTCAAGGCCTTGTAGTTTTCAATAGAATGCCCTGCTGCCCCTGCGTGATAATCACAAGTTTCCTCAGGCCTATACCATAACGGGTAAAGCGGTTGTTGCTTTCTTTGCGGTGGAGCTTTTACCAACATCGAGGCCTTTAGCAGTTGAGGAAACAAGTCTCCATAACTTATAGGAACTTTGTCAAAAGTCTTTTTTGCCTTCAGCCCCATTTTGAGTTTTTGAGGAGAGACGGGGAGGGTGGTAGCACGAATTCCCTCTTTTTTCTTCCTCCCGTAGACCCATTATGAATGACTATTATTCGGTCGTGAGGATTCTATGATTCTGCATATGAATGGGACATCCTGCATTAGACAGGCCTCAACCACTTCTTCATTGTCATAATCATGTGTTTCAACGGCTCTCACTCTTTCTTCTAGAGCGTTCAAACATCCTCTATTATGGTTGATGTCGTGTTGCATTCTGGTCATGGTATCGATCATCTTAGACATTTGTTCTCTAAGTCGTACGAGCTCCTCAAGAAGTACATGATTTCCTTCCTTTAGAGCTTCCATGACTCTTCCACTTTAAGCTCTCATGAGTATGGAGTGTTGAAAAGCCACCTTTGATGGATAAAATAATTTCCTATTAAACTTATTTAAATGATAATGCATGAAGGAGGTCTCTCAACAAAGACTTGGTAGCCACTCCTTTGAACGTGAAATCAAAGTGTCCCTTTTCGTAATTTTTTACTATGTGACAAATGTCACACTAATTGGAGTTCATCAGTCTTTGTGAGAAATCTCCTAGTGATCCTAGGAATGTATGTGGTATGCATGTCCCTCCTTTTTACTCTCTCTTTTAATTTTTTTTTGGAAAATGCATGATGCCCCGTTTTTTAAAGAAAAGATGTATGCTTTTCATAGATCTTATTTTCACACTAGGTTTTTCCCTCATGATAATGCTTTTTTATGTTTTTCTTTACCTTAGGGAATTATAAAAAAATAAATGAATGGTTTGAATAAACAAAATGCAACAAACATATGCTCATATAAAGTAACCCACGAACAGTCACGTTCAAATCCTCGGTTTGTGGTCCCTGTTAAGAAAAGTGCATTGTGTAGGATAGTTCTAATCTCACTGGTCTTAAGGCCCCCAAGGTGCCCCATTATAGGGACCTAGTATCTCTGTCGCCGTCACCTGGCAAATTCTAAGGTTTGTCGCAGTATTTCAGGCTAGAGTAACCGGTTATCACCTTGAGTTTGATTTCCGACAAGGCTCGCAAGCTCCAAGGCCAAACTTGGGCTGGTCGTACGTCAACCACTCCCTATTTTTAATACCCTCATGCCCCCGGGTGTAGGGGGAATTATTGTGTGCAAATGTTTGTTTACAGTTGTTAATTCAAGCATGTACAAAATTTAAACAAGTAAACAGATATCAAAGCCAAACAAAGAAAAAAAACAAGATAAAGGGAAAAATATTTAAATTATTATTCTTATTTTATTAACCTCATTTATTTGGGCCTGACCCTCTTAAAACGTCCCCAGTGGAGTCGCCATCTGTCGCAACCCGAAAATTTCTGATCTCACGACCTATGGTTTAGACATCCTTTTAAAGATTTCATCAATTAAGGAATGCCCGGACACCAGACTAATCCTTAATTAATGGTTTTGAAAAATGAGTTCATGGAGTTGCCACCAATTTTTTACTCAAAACATTGGAAAAAGAAAAGGATTTTAAAAGTCCAATAATGGCCTTGATAACCAGAATTGGGTTCGGGGGTCGCTTACATGTAGGTAAGGTATTAAGCACCCCTACAACGCCCTTAATCGGTACCCTATGATGAAGTTAGCATTATAAAAAATAATAATATAAATATTGAATCCCCTTTTATTATTACTATTTACATGCTTAATTTTAAATTATGCAATTTACAAAAAAGGCCTAAAATCTTAGTTTGGAACAGGCCGTTCGAGCATAGACAGTTATGTGTTAAACTCACATCTGGAACAGGTCGTTCTAGTTTCAGAACGGGTCATTCCAGGATACAAAATTAACACATAACGTAAAGATCCAGAACGGGTCGTTCCAAATCTGGAATGGGCCATTCTGGCAACTTTTTGATGTCTATAAATAGCAGACTCGGGAAAAGTTCTCAAGGCCACAAAATTTTGTCCAAGACTCCTTAAAGCTCGAAATTTCTCTCTCTCTCCCTCCTATTGTATTTCTTGAGTTTTGTGAGGCACATTATAGTGTGGTACTGTGTCTGCATAACAAATAATATGTTGCACCATGTATGCACTAATTTCCAACCATTATATTTTCTTGAAATTCTTATAGCCTGATGGGGGTGCAGGACCTATATTTATGAATTTATGTTATACATGTGGATTTTAATGATATGCCCACCAAATTGAGCTGTCTAGTGGTGGTTTGAAACTACAGGTAACCGACAGACGGTTTGGACGGACGCTCTTGGAAATTTATGGACCAACATGGTCCCAGAAGAAGAGGAGATGACACATTCAAATTATCACAATTTCAGTAAAGGCTGTGAAACATGCTGGTGCAATTTTTTATCTGTTACAAGGGTCAACAGGGTTTAGTTTCTGAAACCTATCTCACTTCTTCAAAAGCTGTTATACAGAGTCTAGTGTTGGTCCCTGTGACAGGTCACCACATGTTATGTGATGTCTTGTGGTGAATTATGAAACCTTGGATTCTTTTCATATAAGATGAGAACCCCCTCAGCTGATAATTGATTTATTAAATGTATATTAAGGTTTCATTGTGGTTGGTCATAGTTGAAGTGAATTGTGATAGTAAAGGAACTTTATCTATAATATTAGGAGTGTGATGAATCTTGAAATCATCACTCTAATCATTCTAAGAAGGGCTTCACCTAACTATTGCACAGAGAGAGATAAAGGAAGCATGAAGGTGAATTAATTGAAAGAGGGAGAGCTTAAAGAGAGTTAAAGAGAGAAATTTTTCAGAGGAAGGGATCAGGTAAAGAGGTTTGACATTATGTTTTTCCTTCGTGGTTTTTTTTTGGTGATATTATACCTTTTATTGATACTTTGTTGATTTCATCACAACCACAACTCAAATCCCACGTTTTCATACTAAATATCTATAATTCACGTTATGTTATCCCCTTTAGTCTCTAGTTAGGATGTTGTTTGCAGGTGGTTGCCAACATTCCCTTTAATATCAGTACCGATGTGATCAAACTACTTCTTCCAATGGGTGACATTTTCTCAGAAGTGGTTCTGTTGCTCCAGGTTAGAATTCATAGGTCTAGTGTATATAATTTTTTGTCTAGTTTTACTTTTTCTCATAACCTTCTAACTTCTAAAGTTTCCATCCCTATCACTCAACCCCGTACCCACCATTTACTTAATCCGAAGTTCAAGTGCTTCTCATGTTCGTTGGTTTTGCTTAGAACCGTAACAGTGTGACAAATCCAAAATTGGCTTGGCATGCGACAAAAATGACAGTTAAACAATGAATAGCATCCAGGAATAATAAATACTTCAGGACAGGCATACTTACTCCAATCACTGCATGGTCACCTACCACATTTATGGCCGACAGAATGCCTCTGTATAAGAACGTGTACACAGCACCCAGTATTAGACCAAAAAATGAGAATAACACAAACTTCTAGATAGTATTTAGACTTAAATATGTTTTTAATCTCTCAAATTTGAAGTAAGTTTATTTTTTATCCAAAAACATTAAAATTAATCTTTTTAGTCTCTAACTGTAATTTCAAAAATAAAAATTTTAGTCCTTTAGAAACACTTGTAGCATCATTAACATGGATAAATTGAGTCAATTGTACAAAATCAGTTGAGTCTCATGTGATGTTTTCACCAACAAGAAAACTAATTGGTGAGTTTTTTGTAACAAATTCATTAGTAAGTGGGCTTTGTGTGGCAAATTCACAAACTACATCTGAGTATAAGGACTAAATTAGACTTTTTTGAAATTATAGAGACTAAAAGGATTAATTTGGATTTTTAGAACCAAAAACAAACTTATTCTAAATTTAAAGGACTAAAAACCACATTTAAGACAAGTATTTATTATATCCCATAATTTATTACTGTCACAAACACAGCTACCAGTTTGACTTTCTTATTCATTTTAGGACCACTTAGATTTCATCTTGGGTAATTTAGATCTAGTATATTAATTACATGCATGTCCTAGGTTCAAGTCATGTTAAATTCTATAATTTATTTCATATATATTTATTTCCAACTGTGACGTTGGCTACATGGATCAAACAAAGCTACTGTAATCCGCCAAAGACTCGGTTTTTCAAAAGGCCATTAAAAACTCTCAAATTTCATATTACACAGGTAAAGCCATATATAAAACAATGAGGAATATGCAATATTTTCATGTTAATGAAGTGTACGTTAACATACGTCAGGGATTTTCCTTTGAAAACTATGGGAGGAGCAACTGCTACTAAGATACAGAATCCTAGATGAAGTTGCAAGCACGAAAAGAAATGATAATAATAAAATTTTGTTCGAAATGTGAAGCAAAACTTGCATGCATAAAATCAAAACCGTTAATTTACCAGGTAAAACAAGAAAAACCATCCAAAATTCAAAGCACTATCTGTCCTGCAAAAACAACAATGGAACAAATTCAAAATCAAGAGAGTAACCACGTTAGAATGATCAAAATATGCATACATATTTTGTTAGATTGGGCAGGATTGAACCGGGAGGAGGGAGAATAGCCAAACCCAATGAAGAGACATATTAGACCATAGGCCAAGTGATATAATACGCACGCTTATTGTTCTGGTGAACCCTTCATGTGCAATATTTGTCAGTATTCTACCACTTTCTTAAAGCCTCAAGGTTGCTCTTTTAAACCCCCATAATGCCCCAGTCTCCCAAGAACATTTTTTTATCTCATACAACTGGAACTATATAAAAGGAATGTTTGCAATTGTATATTAGTAGGCAAAAATTAAACAGCCAAATGCCAATTAAGTCTGGGAAGTAATTACCTAAAGGCACGATATAATGGGCGATACCACAAGACATATGCTCCAGGAATTCCTGCTATGAAGTAGATAATAGAAAGAAACCATATTTTCACACCTAATTTTTTATTATTTTGTCCCACCCTCATAAATTATATAAATGGAAGGCCTATGAGAAAATTGAAGACTTGATAGGTAGTGAAATGAATGAGAATAGGTAGCAAAATATTGATAAAGTGGTTTTGTTTGATTGATTTAAACCACTGACCTAACGTCCTAGCTGGTTGGAACTAACCTATTTTATTTAGTCAGATGAACTTATCTAGTTTTCATTTTTATATATGCACTAAGCTTCATAACAATTCAACCACCATATGAATAGACGAACCCTACTTGTGTATCCTTCGTACAAATCTGCATGATTAAGAAAATTACAAAGCGAGCATTACAAAACACAATCTAACCTGATAGCCAGGAAAAAGAATGATTAAAAGAAATCCTCGAAATGGAAGCTTCAGACCAATCTATGAGCTCAGATCGCATCGAACGATCACTTTTCACAGTACGATCGATTCCTTGCAGATTTTTTCCTAGGTTTTGCGTTTCTCTTCAAAATGAAATTAATGAAAATAGAGTAAACTCGATGCAATTAGATATTTCAAAACTCACCTTCAATGGATTTATGAACAAATGCACAAATGAATATTGAAAATGGAAGACTAGAAGCTATGTGTCTCGCTAGCGGATTCTCAATGGGTTTGTGTAGTTTCGTGTAAAAAGGAAGGAATGTGGGGGTTTCGTGTAAAAGGAAGGAATGCGTGCAGGGGTTGTAAAAATGCATTTCAATTTGGTTTATATTTTTTTAACAAAGAAAATTGTTTTTATATTATTTTATTTAAATTATTTTTATTAGTTTTCTTTTAATTTTTAAATCTAAGAAACACATTGGTCACCCACTGGGACGCGGAAGTAAAAGGAATTGAACATTTTGGCGGTTTCAAACCGCTAGAAAATGTCGTCACTTCTAGCAATTACTATTTATGCCACAAAAGTAATATTTTTTGGCGGTTTATTGAAACCGCCAAAAAAAAACCCCTGGTAATTACATTATTTTTTGTAGTGACTATATGGGTTGCTTTTATGTGAGCTAGGATTTTATGTAACAAGGTACCATGAGTGGGTTTTAAGTCATCTTTTGTTTGGCCCTCCATTTCTCACCATTTGTGTGATGTAAAGCATCATACATGTTGATTAATTCGTGATGGTAAAAATATTAATTTTGGAATGATGTTTGGTGTTTTGATGAGTCAATTGGGGATATGGTCCCAGAAGAAGAGGAGATGACACATTCAAATTATCACAATTTCAGTAAAGGCTGTGAAACATGCTGGTGCAATTTTTTATCTGTTACAAGGGTCAACAGGGTTTAGTTTCTGAAACCTATCTCACTTCTTCAAAAGCTGTTTCGACTTATAAGCTAACTGAAAGTTTATAAGTTATGAGTTAGGAATTGAAAAACTAAAAGCTTATAAGTTAACTAATTGAGTCAAGAGTTTTTTGTAGGATTAAATAGTAAATTAGCTGATTGATGTAAAATGACATATTTATTTATTTGACATTAAGTGAGAGAATAACATGTATGCAAAATGGTTTCTAAATTAAAAAGGATAAAAAAATATTTCAAATAAATTAACAAAAATAAAAAGGAAAAGAGAAAAATAAAGTCAATACTCTCTCCTCTTACAATAAATGTAGTTTAAGATTTTTGTAACGACCCGGTTGGTCACTACACACGGCACAACACACTAGAAACACCACACAGAAAAGAACAATTGTATACATATAGAGTCTAGAATATACATATACATGATCCAATCTGAAACAGAGTTAAAGTGTACCAAAAAGGAATACAATCATATACTACTGTCCCAAGTAGCTCAACAACAAAAAGAATCATAAAAGAGATCAGCTCCACCGGTTTGCCGGAGACTCACCACAAGACTCCCACCTATCCCTGCTCTGCTCCCATACATAGTATGATCATTGCAGTCCAAACATCATGGAAACAACAAAGGGTAAGCTAGTGTAATTAAAAATCAACATACAAATATATATCAATATGATAAACAACCGCTACAGCTATCAGCACACCTGTACAGCTTATACCACTCACAACACGTAACAATATCAGCACCGCAATGTAGTAATATCAGCACTGCTCAGCAGCAATAACAACACCACTCAAGTGGCTATAACAGCACCGCAAAGCGGCAACAACATCACCGACTTAGCGGCTATCACAGCACCACATATGTGGCTAAATACAGCACCGACTTAGCGGCTATAATATCACACCACTGAGCATAGCATAGCACAACACAGCACAACACAACACAACAATTCAACATACTTATTTTCACGATTCAGCAACTACAGGTAACCGACAGACGGTTTGGACGGACGCTCTTGGCAATTTATGGACCAACATGGTCCCAGAAGAAGAGGAGATGACACATTCAAATTACCACAGTTTCAGTAAAGGCTGAGAAACATGCTGGTGCAATTTTTTATCTGTTACAAGGGTCAACAGGGTTTAGTTTCTGAAACCTATCTCACTTCTTCAGAAGCTGTTATACAGAGTCTAGTGTTGGTCCCTGCGACAGGTCACCACATGTTATGTGATGTCTTGTGGTGAATTATGAAACCTTGGATTCTTTTCATATAAGATGAGAACCCCCTCAGCTGATAATTGATTTATTAAATGTATATTAAGGTTTCATTATGGTTGGTCATAGTTGAAGTGAATTGTGATAGTAAGGGAACTTTATCTACAATATTAGGAGTGTGAATCTTGAAATCATCACTCTAATCATTCTAAGAAGGGCTTCACCTAACTACTGCTCAGAGAGAGATAAAGGAAGCATGAAGGTGAATTAATTGAAAGAGGGAGAGTTTAAAGAGAGTTAAAGAGAGAAATTTTTCAGAGGAAGAGATCAGGTAAAGAGCTTTGACATTATGTTTTTTCTTCGTGGTTGGCGCGGGCCAACCAGAGACTCTCATTTGCAAGCTCGCCCGGCGCACACAGTTTTGCACCCGGCGGGCTTGCCTAAACAGAGTCTCCTAGTGGTTGCACGCCCGACGCGAAGAACAGCGCCCAGCGCGAACTCATCAGTAACTCTCCCCAAGTTCGAAAATTGCCCAAAACCTGCAAAACTTAACAGAAAACCAGCATGCAATCCAGCCAAAAGTTCTCAATCTCATCAAATATCAATAAAAATGCCTCAGTTTCAACATGCAAACACAATCCAAGGAATTTCCCGAAATTTCTCCAAAAACCCCAAAAACCTGAAAGGCCCCCAAATCAGCAATTTCAATCGTTCTCAGCTCAAATGCAGCAAACACCCTACCACCAAAGAGTTCTTAGAACTCGTTTTCGGCCAAACAAAGCAAAGGACTAGATTCCCTTACCTCAAATCATGTGCAGGATAAAAGAGCTTGGCTTTTATCCAATTTAAAGTCAAATTGTGATATCAATAAAGTTTCTTGGGCTCGTTTGTTTTTTTTTTTGCTTTGGATAAGTTATGGTGTAGAAGGGATAAATGTAATTTTGAAGATAATATGATTCAATCGAAGGAAATTGCATTTCATGTTCGGAATCAAGTTGCAACAATTGATTTGAATATTGTGAGTAAGAAATTGCTTAATTACTGACTGCATAAAAAGAACTAGTAAACACTAATATAAAGTGTATTCATCCTGAAGCTAGATTCTTCAAGCTTAATTGTGATGGCTCAGTGCAACATTTTGTGAAGAAAGTTACAGTAGGAGGGGTATTTAGGGATTATTGTGATCAATTACTCTTGTTTTGCTTCAAATATTAGTTTATGTTTAGTTATTCATGCTAAACTTTGGGTCAGATTGATTGGTATATCTACAGCTTGGAATTGAGGCTATAAACAGTTTATGGTTGAGACTGATTATCAAGTTGCAATTAATCTACTCACTAAAGGGTGTTCTTCATACCATCCCCCATTGAGCATTTGCAAAATATTAAAGAGATGGTAAACAAAGGAGGCGCATTTCATTGGATGCATGTTTTGAGGAAAGTAAATCAAGTTGCAATTATACAAACTAATTTTGCTTTTTCATTAAATGGTCAATTGAAAATATTTGATGTTGTACCTTTTGTTGTTTGGAATGTTGTTTTGCAGATGTAAACTCTATTATGTTTTTTTTTATTATTAATATTCTTGGACTTTTTAGCCCTTGTTTTCAACAACAACAAAAAAAGAAGAAAAAGACATCTTTGATAACTTTAAAAATCAATGATTGTTAGTCATAATTAAGAATAAAGAAAAATTAATATGTTGCTTATAATTAAGATTAGAGATGGTATACTTTATTATAAAATTTAGTTATATATAATCAATATTTAACTTGTGAAATGTTTATGTTAGCTAAAAGTATTTAGTAAAATCTTAAACAGTTATACTATAAAATAAAATAAAATAAAATAAAAACTCATCTTGTGTATTGTATTCCCAAGGATAAAATATATTAACATAAAACCAACAAACGTTTGAAAACTTATTTTACAAGACAAGGATGTTTTCTAAGCATACAAATTGAGCCTGTAGTTATAAGGTTATTGGCAAGTCCGAGCCAGTGACTCATGCTTCATCATATTACTGTTTCACGAATGAAGTTACTAACCCCAGTCCCCACGATCGCATATACCCAAAATAAGACACTGTTGTAGACCTAAAACAAAAGACAGTATCTGGTTTGTAAATAATTTCCAAGTCCTTTGTTATATAATCAAGCTGCTAATGGACTTAATCAAGGCTTCTATCGAAACAAAGTGAAACTTCAAAGATTCATTAATATATTTATTTTTTGACAAGTCAAAGATTCAATTATAAGATGCATCGATTGGGATTTTTTTTTATAAAAAAAATGATTTTGATACCCATAAGTATAGTTTATATTATCAACTAAATACTTTGTAACATAACATAATTATAAAAGAAAAAAAATACTGATATTAATTAATTAAAAACCATCCATGATATGAATTAAAATAATTATTACAAAACTTAACAATTTTCAATTACATGGTAATACATGATTAGATGAAGGTATAAATAATTTTTACATAATCAGCGTATTTCAATTAAATTCTTATAAAAATATATTTCAATCAGACAATCACATAACTAAAAACTCCCCCCTGTACAAGGATATTTAGCCTACAGCTGCGGGTTTGCAATGACTATTAAGACCAATTGTCAAATTTATAAAAACTACCCTTTTCCTTATACATACAATTTCAAGCCCCAAAATGAGGCGCTCTCCCAATTTCATGAAACCAAAATCAAATCCCTTTGACAATTAATGTGTCTCAAGTGTCTTCAGAGGGCAATGTTCCAAAGCATGAAGGGCTACTGCAAAAGCATGGCAATCCATTAGGCCTTTTCCTGATTTCTCCATAGCTAAAAGTAAGTTCTTCATCTACTTGGATATCTTTTGAAGCAAAAAAGCAGAGGCGTGGGAACAACGCTCCTGAACTTCTAACTAGCTTTGTGCTTAAATTACCACCGTCACATGAATGATTTACAAACCGTGCAACATTTCCTATTCTTGTGGCATCTATGTTTAGTCTCAGACATGCCTTGCCAGAAGGAAGATGTTCCCTCACAACTAAAAGAGCAGAAGAGAAACGACCCTGTGAAGCAAGTTCATCATAGTATTGATGTCTCCTCTGTGCTTCCTTGGTTGTCAAGAGTTCACCTTTTATTACACAGGAAACCATGATTTAATTTTACACAAATGCATAGGGGGATTAAAAAAGACATGCATAATAAAAGCAAGCTAAAAGAATCAGGCAAATATCAATGACATTCCCCTTAACCTTAGCAAACACTAGAAAGTTGTTTCTACTAATCTTCATACAATTAATTCTTTAACTCACATATATGTACTTCAGCACCATACATTCTATATATCTCTTCAAAAGAAAGAACCATTCTGTTCCTTAATTTAGTAAATATATCAATATCAAAGGGGACCCTTGAGTATCCAGTAAAACATGCAAATTATTTTGTAGTACTCTACTTACTCCATATACCATATATTAAGTTTGCAAATCACCCACCTCTCCCACCACACCATTCTATCAGGCACTTAACTTGCAACAATTCCATCAACTCATCCTTGGATTTCATAAACATTCCTACTCAACATAACCTACTAAGTGGGTTATCACATGCAAAGACCTCTTGATACTTCAGAGTATCGACAAAGAGATTCCTTAACCAGAAATATTAGATCAAGACAGCACCTCACCCATTGCCCATTTCACACAGTCTAAGCTCTATTCCCCTTTCAAAACTCATTCTTGGTGGCTAACAATTGCCCTCATTAATTAGTCTTCTATTGCTTAAAGATAAAAAAAAGAAATTAAAAAAAAAAAAAAAGGGGGGGCTGGGGGCAGGTCAAAATTTTTGCGGGCTTCAAGCTAGCGGTACCCTAGTCATCACTTTTATGTGGTAGAAGATGATTCCAAATGTTTCATATTTATTTCTTAGCAATCTAATTCCCCACACCCCACAACTACAACAGGATGAGTTTCAAAATCTACATCCACATTCATAGTCTTATACACAAACTTCATGACAATCTTTTAATTTCTACAAAGTCGATAAAAATATAGTAAAATCAACATGTAAAAATCTATATCAAGATTCATGTAATTATTTCTGATGTGATTTTAACAGACTCTGAATTTGAGGACAGAGGGTCTCCTAAAAGAGAATAATAGGGAAGAAAATGACTGAATTCTCATTGCCTGTGTCAAACATACAACACTACATAGAAACCTCACAATGCTCACGCATAACCCACAACAAACAGTAAAGCAATAACAGAATTGTAACAAATTGTTTCTGGAAGCTGCTGAATCATTTGATTTTCCTTTATATTTATAAAAGATAAAATCTGACCACTTCTTGGGTTTGTTGGTAACTCTCTTGGGCCTAGCATTAGTGGAAATAGCTTGTACTGGATCTTCACACAGTCTAAGCTCTATTCCCCTTTCAAAACTCATTCTTGGTGGCTAACAATTGCCCTCATTAATTAGTCTTCTATTGCTTAAAGATAAAAAAAAGAAATTAAAAAAAAAAAAAAAGGGGGGGCTGGGGGCAGGTCAAAATTTTTGCGGGCTTCAAGCTAGCGGTACCCTAGTCATCACTTTTATGTGGTAGAAGATGATTCCAAATGTTTCATATTTATTTCTTAGCAATCTAATTCCCCACACCCCACAACTACAACAGGATGAGTTTCAAAATCTACATCCACATTCATAGTCTTATACACAAACTTCATGACAATCTTTTAATTTCTACAAAGTCGATAAAAATATAGTAAAATCAACATGTAAAAATCTATATCAAGATTCATGTAATTATTTCTGATGTGATTTTAACAGACTCTGAATTTGAGGACAGAGGGTCTCCTAAAAGAGAATAATAGGGAAGAAAATGACTGAATTCTCATTGCCTGTGTCAAACATACAACACTACATAGAAACCTCACAATGCTCACGCATAACCCATAACAAACAGTAAAGCAATAACAGAATTGTAACAAATTGTTTCTGGAAGCTGCTGAATCATTTGATTTTCCTTTATATTTATAAAAGATAAAATCTGACCACTTCTTGGGTTTGTTGGTAACTCTCTTGGGCCTAGCATTAGTGGAAATAGCTTGTATTGGATGAGCTTGGGCATATCAGTTTCTCTATTTTTCAAATCAGAAAAGTTCTTAAGCTTCCTCACTATACACACTCTGTTATTTAGTAAATGATGTTTTATTTAGTAATTTGAGCACTAAGATGTTAACTTTGTACTCAAATAAAACATCATTTTCTTCCCGTCCTTTACTTAAAAAAATACAACAAAATGCAACCAACCGCTCCAACAAATACAATGACAATCAAGGTCGTCAAACACAAGGTCCAACTTAGTACCACAAGTGTAAGTAACACGAGTAACAAAATTCAAACACACAGGTTGATAGGCCCCCCGTAACAGTAAAAACAAGAAGTAACAAAGAAAATAAATAACAGAAGATAGAATCAGAGTTTATTGCTCTGCCAAGGGAAGAGTCCCCTTCAAACAACTTTAAAACAGTTCTCATACAATCACTTCTCATGCCTTTCAATCTACTCCAAATCATCTATTTATAGGTCCCACTAAAACAATAACTAGCATTTACTTGAACTCAAACTGAAATTGCACAAGTAACAATCACAATTTTGTCTAACAGTTACTTACATTGTTCACTTTCATTGAAAATACAAAAAGAAAAAAGAGTCTCATGTTCTTCCGGTATGAAAAAATGCACTAGAAAAGAACTAACCATCCAAGTCCAAAACATTCAAAAAATGTGTTTTTCACCGTATTAAATCTCCTAATTCATTAAATATCTAACAACCCTTAATTATGGAATGCTAGCTTGAGCCTTATACAATGCGTAAATCTCTTAGAATATTTATCAAATAATACACTTGCCCTCTAGTCTTAATCACAAGACGCATAAAGATTATAAGCCACCCTCTATAATTTTTCTGATTAATGAAGGCCTCTCGGAATATTTTCGTGACGATACACATACAAATCAGGAGAAAACTATGCAACTCTCTACATTTTGCTAGTATTGTGCTCTCACAAGAATTTGGAATTTCTCGTCACAAATTTGCCTAACTACTCACAATGTCAAGGATGCCAATTTAAAACCTTGGTTTTGTCATACAAATTAACTATGGACCCGTTTGATTAGACTTCTACTAAGCACAGAAAAAATTAAATAAACTTTTCGTAAATTGATTTATAGAAATTTTTACCAAATCTTATAAATCTTATTTTAAAATTTTATGTATAAGTTAAAAGAAAAGTTTATTTAAATATACATGTATGATTATTAACATCGTAAATAACTACCTGCATACTCAAACACGAACTCCCCTTTCGCAATGAACTGGTCCGAGTGCAACCCCCATCCTTTTCTCTCACCCCTCACAATCTTCACCCTCGCCGCAACCCCATTCTGGGTCGCCCGATTCCCGCAGTGGGGCCCACACGAGCAACCCGGCCCGCACTCTCTCCCCACGTGGTCGAGCCCACGGAGGCCCGCACAGGGGCACGCGGGGCCGCCGCAGGCCCGGCATTCGCAGGCCGAGGCGCCGACGAGGCCCACGGACTGGGCGCGATGGGAAGCGGGCGCGGCGGGGGAGACGGCGGAAGAGCCGCCCCAGGGCTGACGCAAGGAGGGGAGGAGGAGGAGGAGGGAAGGGGTGTAGAGGAAGTGCGCGTAGGGGTGGTGGGGCTCGGCGGCGGTGCTGAGGAACGGGACTGGAAGGGTCTCGAAGGTTCTAGAAGCGTCGGAGGAGCGGCGGAGGGTGATGGAGCGAGAGAGTTTGAGGAGGGACTTGCAGGTCAAGGAGACGTTCGCGAGTTCCGAGGGGGTTAGGTAGGGTAACACCAGCTCCGCGCATTCCACCAGACCACCCTCTTTCCCGTTCCTACGCTGCATCGTCCAAACACTTTACCTATTACCATTGGTTCAATGTCGAAGCTAATGGAATGTATAGTAAAAAATGATTTTTTTTTTTTTATCAAAATTTATTTTCATTTTTTATCTTTTCAGAAATTTGTTATGTTTTTGGTTGGATGTAATATTATTCATCCAAAACAGCGGTTCTTTTCACCATGGAACACAATTTTGATCTAAAAAGAATTTAATATTAGTTTTTGGATTTTTAATGAAATCTTTATTTGTTTCAATTTATATTTATTGTTGAATTAAATTTTAATTTTGAATGAATTATTCATAATTAAAAATAACTTTATATTATAACACAAATTATTTATTATAAATATAAATATTGAGAGGTCAAATTATGCTGGACAGCCCGAATTTTTTAAAAGTAATATAAAAATGTTTTTATTAATTAAATGGTATTTATAAAATAATTAAGTGTTTTTTATATAATGAAGAAAGACTTTTAAAAATAATTAAAATACGATTTAGGAAGTGATTTTCTGAAAGATATATTAATTATATTATATGAGGATTGCATATAATCAATTTTATTTGGCTATTATTAAAAACAAAATAAAAGAAAATAAATGGAGATATTATGAGGATTTGGTCTTAAAAAAAATAGAGTGGTTAACTAAAATGAAGGAAGTGAAAATAGTGAGGAGAGGTGGTTAAAAAAAAACTTAATCACTTATACACTGTCAGTGTAAAGTTTTTTACACTAGCAACTAATCATATCTTTTAATAGTGTTATGTCAATTACTTATTTAATGAAATAATAATAAAAAGATATGATTAGTTGTCAGTGTAAAAAGTTTTACACTAAACTTTATACTGACAGTGCATAGAAGATTAACTCTAAAAAATTTTTAAAAAAAAACTCTTACAAAATACCGATATTAGAAAGGGGGATTGGAAACCAAACCAATGAGAGAACGAAGAAAAAAAATTGAAACTGCAGCAGAAAGAAGGAGTACAAAAGGGTTCTTCAAGGAATCGGAAAGAAGAAAAATTTGACTCTTTGTAAGTATATTTACTATTTTCACTTGTTTATAATTTTGATAAATGTAGAATAGCTATAAAGCGTAATGTTTCTACGTTTTATTTCAACCATATTATTATTTATTATGCTTTATTTACATAGATTTTGATATATTACTATTTATTTATAATTCAGATCAATGTCTTTCAAATGTCCAATATTAGTATGCTTTATTTACATGGTTGGAGAAAAGTGTTTATTTTTAATTTCTGTTCAACCATATATTTAACTTATATTTTCAATCTTTAACTCATCTCAAAATAAAAGTTAACAGAGTTTATGCGTTTATTTACTTCTCTTATTTTCGATTTTTTTTATTTTTGTTTATTTGTTCAAATATCCAGTACAATAATAAAGATAAAATAAATGCTAATTTTTTTTTACTGTAACGTGTACATCTACCTTTTTAAAATATTTAAAAAATAATTTTTTTAAATTATATAATTGTTTTCCTAAAAGAAAATTACTCTCTAGAAATTATCTAAATATTACATAATCAATAATGTCAATAGAATAATAGTTTTATCTTTGATGTCGTTTGATTGTAAGAATTTAATGACTAATCATTTGTTAGTTTAAATCTTATTTTAAAATAAAATAGATAGCAATCAATAGTGTTAATTGAATAATAATTTTATCTTTGATATTATTGGACTATGATAATTTAATGACTAGTCATTTGTTAGTTTAAATTCTTGTGCAATGTTTTCTTAAAAAACATAAATTTAGAGAGTTATTATTTTAATTAATATAAAGTTTGATAACATTAATTGAATAACAATTCTATCTTTAATGTTATTGTAAGGATTTATTGATTAGTCATTAGCTAGCTTAGATTTTTTTGCAAAGTTTTTTTTTGTACTCCATATCGTATCCCGTCACATAAATGCACATGATGCATGCCACACATTCACAAACTCATGGACTCGTCACTTCTCTTGTCTAGGTGATGGAGGAAGCCCATGGGCCAAGGGCCCAACTACTAGGGCTATGGCAAGGAGGATACATGAAGAGTGGGCCCAAGCCCAAGAAAAGCTCATCTCTTTGTTTAGTTGGGCTTTGACTCAAGCCCAAATAGATTAGGGTTAGTGTAGGATTGGGCCTTAGTGCCTTGTATTTCTTTTTGGGCCTTGTATTCACGGCCATGTAGCTTAGGAATTCATTTGGAGGTCATTTGAATTTAGGGTTATTTAAGTTGCATGTGTAGTAGCATTAGAATGTAATTAGATTCACATTTGGAGTGCATTTCGGCCATGTGCAACACTTGCACATGGTGTGATCCGAAATGCAACCCAAATGGAAGCCTAATGACATTCCAAATGCCTTGCACATGGGTGATCCGGTTTAAGCTCCAAAATTTGAATTTTGAATTCAAATTTTGGGCGCCTAGTGTTAAGTGAACCATACCATGGTTCCACTTAACCCTAGGCTAACCCATGGTTACCTTGACCTAATTTTCACCTATAAATCCTTATGACCCATCCGTGTAACTCACTTTGGATTATTGAATGAGTATTTCTCACATAGAATTCTCCTTCTCCGAAGTCACCTTACTCCTAGCCTCTACCCTACTTGAGAGCTTCTCCTTGTAGAGCTAGGACCTCATAACCTTCTCCAGACTTAGCTTTATGCAAGCCTAGGTGACATTGAAGCCTTGTGGAGTCTCCCTCCTTGAAGTTCTTCCAAGGAATTTCGTGAGGCTTGAAGCATTCCTTGAGATTTCCAAGAGGAATCTCATCAAGTGATATCAAGAGCATCCGGTTCTTCAAGAGATAAGTCTTTGTCCTTGTCATTTGAAGTTTGATCCGTGGCTATCTTCTTATTTTGTTCATCTTGTGTTCATCCTTGTTTTGAGTTTTTGTCACCGAGAGTTTCATATTTCCTAGATCTAATTTTGTCTCAAAAATTGATGGATCTAGTATCATATGCTTGAATGATTCATTTATGCTTTTATGTCAATATGCTTTCATGAATCATGCTCCATTCTTTGTACCTATTAGGAATTTTCTGGCTATGATCTTTTTACTTTCTTTGAGTCATATTTGAAATTTTATTCGATCAATTTTATGCTTGAGTCTTTTATTTTGAATCCATGTCTAGTAGGTTTGTGTAGTTCTTGTATGTTCATCTTTCTTAGCTATGCTTGTTGATCCGTTTGAATTTTGATTTGCATCTTGAAAACATTTTCTGGATTTGGCCGAGATCCATAGCTTTGGTATATGCTCATAATTTTGTTTTACTTTGAGTTCTTAAACTACTACTAGATCATTAGTAGTTTTCTTAGAAATTTTAGGTTTCCTAAATTTTAAAATGTCTTAAAAAAAATTTCCCTATCCGTGAGTGTTTGATCTTATTTGAGTAGAGGTGTGCTGAAAATTGTGTTTGTATCTCATTTTGAATTTGAATTTTGGAGCCTAAAACCGTGCATGTGCCATTCAAATTAGCAAGCATAAAAAGCATGTCACATGTTCATTGAATTTTAACCTAATTTGCTTGTCATTTGGCATCTCAAATTGAATCCGGTTTTGGTATTTTTTTAAGTGTGACCGAGACTAGCCTTATATGTATTGTGTTACATTTTGAAAAAGGCAACTCCTAAGACTTAAAATATATATATATATATATATATATATATATATAAGAGAGATCACAAGATGCAAGAACAAATTGAATATAAAAAAAAAGTGCTAAAATCTAATTTGTAAAAGCAAAAGCCATTAAGGAGTTTTAGTGCACAAAATTTCTTCTCGGTTTGCATTTTGTCTTTGTTACATAATATTTTTTCAGCTTACATATTTTGAGTGCTTTGGTTTTGTGAATCCATTTTAGAACCTTTCTTAGGTTAATTCTTTCTTGTCCTAGCTATTTCTTACCTTGTGTCACCTATCTTGTCTACTTCTACTCTACTCTTGTCTTCTTTAATTTTTTTCAAATTCTCTTTGTTGTCCAATATCATTGTTTGAATTCAAATGTGACCTATGCTTGACCTAGCCTATCTCCCTAGAAGCTAGTTCTACAAGGGTCACCAAAAGAAGACTAAGAAAAGGAGGAGGAAGGAAAATTGGTGGCTCTCGGATTTGGATACTCCAAAACATACACCTAAACACTTGTGGCTGGAAAATTGTTGGTTACTGGACTTGATCAGCCGTGAAGACCTTTGGAGATTCAAATTGTTTTGTAATTGAATTTAAAAATATATATATATATAAGCATTAGTGACGGATTTAGAGACCAACTTTTCATTACTAACTTGAAATTTTGTTACAAATTTGGTCACTAATCCCTCACTAATTCTTAGTGGCTGTTTTCTAATTTCTTTTTAAGCCACTTGTTCTTTGCTGTTTAGCTTTGTATATACCTTGTAATTGGCCATTTAAAGGAGTGTCTTGGGTGTGTCTTTGGTACACAACCATCTCTCCTTAGGTGTTCATTTTCGTTAGTACTTGGTGAGAGTGGTCCTTGATTGATCTTTGGTATCTCTCAAACTCTCACCCTAGGACACGTTTAGGTAGTTTATTTCTTGCTTTAATACTTGTTTTACTTGTTTTCATTCGTCTAGCATATAGTAAATCACAAATCATCCAAAATAATTTTCATTGAAAAAAAATTGGTAGAGATTAACTACAAAGGGGATTAGTAATTTTTACTTGAAGAGGCTTGGTTTTTAAGTGGCTCTTAGTAGCTCACCTCCCTCCAAAGTTCAATTTGTATACTTAATCCTCCAAGTACTTAGTCTTAACCTTGCATAAAAATTGCTTTTCAAACTTTTTTCATCAAAAAGAATCTTTCTCCTATAATGGAAGAATTTTCTACTCCTCAAAGTGATAGTAATTCAAGTGATTACAATGACATGTCAAAAGTAACACATGAATTAAGATCACTTAAGATTTGGAAAGAGCAAGAGTCCAAACAAAGACTTAAACAAAAACTTGAAAGAGAGGCTCAACTTGCTCTTTTGGAGGAAGAGATTCGTTTATTAAAGGAGAAAGAAGAAAAATTACACCACAAGCACCGTAGTAGACATAGCTCCCAAACTCATAGTTCAACTCTAGGAGATTCAATGCATGATGATAGCCTAGCTTTAGGAGATCATTATCAACAACCTCCTAGAAGAGTTCATAGGACCCCCAAGCCAAGGGAATCTAGGGTAGATCTCCCTTATTTTCATGGAAAAGATGATGTGGAGGGATACCTAGACTGGGAAATGAAAGTGGAACAAATCTTTACTTGCCACCAAGTAAGTGAAGAAAGAAAAGTTTCCCTAGCCACTTTGAGTTTTCAAGGTCATGCCATGTATTGGTGGACCTCTCTTGTGAGAGATAGGCGTCTCCATAATGAACCTCCAATTCAATATTGGAATGAATTAAGGAGTGCCTTGAGGAGGAGGCATATACCCTCTTACTACACTAGGGAGCTTATCAACAAGCTCCAAAGACTCCATCAAAAAAATATGACTGTGGAAGAATATAGACAAACGATGGAGTTGTACATCATGAGGGCTGGCATTAGAGAAGAGGAAAATATTACCATTGCTAGGTTTTTGAGTGGATTATCCTATGAAATAAGAGATAAGGTTGAGCTTCTCCCTTATAGGGATTTGGATGATTTGGTTCAACTTTGCATAAAGGTTGAACAACAAAATTTACGAAAAGGTTTTAAAGTAAGCTCATACTCATCTTCTTTTTCTAAGGATAACTACAAGAGGGAAAGTAAGAAAAATGATTTTGACAAGAAAAATACTTCTTCCTCCAAAAATCTAGATAAAGGAAAAGAAAAAGATAAAAAAACAAACACCTCATACACTAGCACCAAGTCTAGTGACATAAAGTGCTTTAAGTGTCTTGGGAGAGGCCACATTGCTTCTCAATGCCCTAACAAAAAAGTGATGATTCTAAGGGGCCAAGACATTTATAGTAGCCATGATGAAGCTACTAATTCTTCATCTTCAAGTGAGGATGAAGAAGAAGCAAGTGAGGAAGAGTCATGTGAGGTCACTTATCCTTACAATGGGGAACTTCTTATGATGAGAAGGGTCCTCAACAACCAACCTAGTGATACACAATCACAACGAGAAAACATCTTTCATACAAGATGTAATATTTCAAATAAAGCTTGTTCTCTCATAGTGGATAGTGGATCATGGTTCAATTGTTGTAGCACTAGGATGGTTGAAAAGTTGGGCTTGACTACCACACCCCATCCCAAACCTTATCAACTTCATTGGCTTAATGATGATGGGGATATGGTGGTCAACCAACAAGTGGAAGTAGAGTTTTCTATTGTGAACTATCAAGATAAAGTTACATGTGATGTAGTTCCCATGGAAGCTTGTCATATTTTATTGGGTAGGCCATGGCAATTTGATAAACAAACTCATCATGATGGCCTAACTAATAAAATAACTTTCACTCATAAGGGTAAGAAGTTTGTGCTTCATCCTCTTTCACCTTCACAAGTGAAGGAAGATCAAGTACAAATGAAGACCAAACGTGAGCAAGAAAAGGGAAAACAAAAAAAAATTGAAAAAAAAACTCCTAAAAATTAGTGAAAATGAGGATTCTAGAGAGACTAGTGTTCCCTCTCTAGTGATAGTTCAAGAAGAAATTTTTGATTCAAAACCTTTACACAAAACTTTTCTCTTTCTTGAACCATCTTCTCATATCCTCATGTGTAGAGGAACACTAACTTACACTGCCACAAGTTCTTTGGAAACTTCTCTACCTCTTGAGGTATATATTTATTTCCAACTGTGACGTTGGCTACATGGATCAAACAAAGCTACTGTAATCCGCCAAAGACTCGGTTTTTCAAAAGGCCATTAAAAACTCTCAAATTTCATATTACACAGGTAAAGCCATATATAAAACAATGAGGAATATGCAATATTTTCATGTTAATGAAGTGTACGTTAACATACGTCAGGGATTTTCCTTTGAAAACTATGGGAGGAGCAACTGCTACTAAGATACAGAATCCTAGATGAAGTTGCAAGCACGAAAAGAAATGATAATAATAAAATTTTGTTCGAAATGTGAAGCAAAACTTGCATGCATAAAATCAAAACCGTTAATTTACCAGGTAAAACAAGAAAAACCATCCAAAATTCAAAGCACTATCTGTCCTGCAAAAACAACAATGGAACAAATTCAAAATCAAGAGAGTAACCACGTTAGAATGATCAAAATATGCATACATATTTTGTTAGATTGGGCAGGATTGAACCGGGAGGAGGGAGAATAGCCAAACCCAATGAAGAGACATATTAGACCATAGGCCAAGTGATATAATACGCACGCTTATTGTTCTGGTGAACCCTTCATGTGCAATATTTGTCAGTATTCTACCACTTTCTTAAAGCCTCAAGGTTGCTCTTTTAAACCCCCATAATGCCCCAGTCTCCCAAGAACATTTTTTTATCTCATACAACTGGAACTATATAAAAGGAATGTTTGCAATTGTATATTAGTAGGCAAAAATTAAACAGCCAAATGCCAATTAAGTCTGGGAAGTAATTACCTAAAGGCACGATATAATGGGCGATACCACAAGACATATGCTCCAGGAATTCCTGCTATGAAGTAGATAAACCGTAACAGTGTGACAAATCCAAAATTGGCTTGGCATGCGACAAAAATGACAGTTAAACAATGAATAGCATCCAGGAATAATAAATACTTCAGGACAGGCATACTTACTCCAATCACTGCATGGTCACCTACCACATTTATGGCCGACAGAATGCCTCTGTATAAGAACGTGTACACAGCACCCAGTATTAGACCAAAAAATGAGAATAACACAAACTTCTAGATAGTATTTAGACTTAAATATGTTTTTAATCTCTCAAATTTGAAGTAAGTTTATTTTTTATCCAAAAACATTAAAATTAATCTTTTTAGTCTCTAACTGTAATTTCAAAAATAAAAATTTTAGTCCTTTAGAAACACTTGTAGCATCATTAACATGGATAAATTGAGTCAATTGTACAAAATCAGTTGAGTCTCATGTGATGTTTTCACCAACAAGAAAACTAATTGGTGAGTTTTTTGTAACAAATTCATTAGTAAGTGGGCTTTGTGTGGCAAATTCACAAACTACATCTGAGTATAAGGACTAAATTAGACTTTTTTGAAATTATAGAGACTAAAAGGATTAATTTGGATTTTTAGAACCAAAAACAAACTTATTCTAAATTTAAAGGACTAAAAACCACATTTAAGACAAGTATTTATTATATCCCATAATTTATTACTGTCACAAACACAGCTACCAGTTTGACTTTCTTATTCATTTTAGGACCACTTAGATTTCATCTTGGGTAATTTAGATCTAGTATATTAATTACATGCATGTCCTAGGTTCAAGTCATGTTAAATTCTATAATTTATTTCATATATATTTATTTCCAACTGTGACGTTGGCTACATGGATCAAACAAAGCTACTGTAATCCGCCAAAGACTCGGTTTTTCAAAAGGCCATTAAAAACTCTCAAATTTCATATTACACAGGTAAAGCCATATATAAAACAATGAGGAATATGCAATATTTTCATGTTAATGAAGTGTACGTTAACATACGTCAGGGATTTTCCTTTGAAAACTATGGGAGGAGCAACTGCTACTAAGATACAGAATCCTAGATGAAGTTGCAAGCACGAAAAGAAATGATAATAATAAAATTTTGTTCGAAATGTGAAGCAAAACTTGCATGCATAAAATCAAAACCGTTAATTTACCAGGTAAAACAAGAAAAACCATCCAAAATTCAAAGCACTATCTGTCCTGCAAAAACAACAATGGAACAAATTCAAAATCAAGAGAGTAACCACGTTAGAATGATCAAAATATGCATACATATTTTGTTAGATTGGGCAGGATTGAACCGGGAGGAGGGAGAATAGCCAAACCCAATGAAGAGACATATTAGACCATAGGCCAAGTGATATAATACGCACGCTTATTGTTCTGGTGAACCCTTCATGTGCAATATTTGTCAGTATTCTACCACTTTCTTAAAGCCTCAAGGTTGCTCTTTTAAACCCCCATAATGCCCCAGTCTCCCAAGAACATTTTTTTATCTCATACAACTGGAACTATATAAAAGGAATGTTTGCAATTGTATATTAGTAGGCAAAAATTAAACAGCCAAATGCCAATTAAGTCTGGGAAGTAATTACCTAAAGGCACGATATAATGGGCGATACCACAGGACATATGCTCCAGGAATTCCTGCTATGAAGTAGATAATAGAAAGAAACCATATTTTCACACCTAATTTTTTATTATTTTGTCCCACCCTCATAAATTATATAAATGGAAGGCCTATGAGAAAATTGAAGACTTGATAGGTAGTGAAATGAATGAGAATAGGTAGCAAAATATTGATAAAGTGGTTTTGTTTGATTGATTTAAACCACTGACCTAACGTCCTAGCTGGTTGGAACTAACCTATTTTATTTAGTCAGATGAACTTATCTAGTTTTCATAAATTTTGTTCGAAATGTGAAGCAAAACTTGCATGCATAAAATCAAAACCGTTAATTTACCAGGTAAAACAAGAAAAACCATCCAAAATTCAAAGCACTATCTGTCCTGCAAAAACAACAATGGAACAAATTCAAAATCAAGAGAGTAACCACGTTAGAATGATCAAAATATGCATACATATTTTGTTAGATTGGGCAGGATTGAACCGGGAGGAGGGAGAATAGCCAAACCCAATGAAGAGACATATTAGACCATAGGCCAAGTGATATAATACGCACGCTTATTGTTCTGGTGAACCCTTCATGTGCAATATTTGTCAGTATTCTACCACTTTCTTAAAGCCTCAAGGTTGCTCTTTTAAACCCCCATAATGCCCCAGTCTCCCAAGAACATTTTTTTATCTCATACAACTGGAACTATATAAAAGGAATGTTTGCAATTGTATATTAGTAGGCAAAAATTAAACAGCCAAATGCCAATTAAATCCTAGAGGGGATTGACCCTTTCAAATCCTTAGGAAACTAAATAATAATGCCTATGTCCTAGATCTTCCTTCTGAATATGGTGTTAGTCCTAGTTTTAATGTTTCTGATCTATCTCTCTTTACAGGACTGGCTACCCACGAGGAGGCTGCTTTGGATTTTGGGACAAATCCTCTTCAAGAGGGAGGGGATGATGGAGGAAGCCCATGGGCCCTTGGCCCAACTACTAGGGCTATGGCAAGGAGGATACACACTACAAGAAAATTACATATTAGCGAGGGACTATTCCCTCGCTATTTCGTCTCTAATCCCTCGCTAATCAGATTTGCGACGGAATAGTGATGAATTTGCGAGAGACCATTCCCTAGCTAAATACAGGTAGCTAATTAGCGAGGGATTAAATTCCTCGCTGATCTATAGCAAAATCCGTCGCCAATCCCTCGCTAAGTTCCTCGCTAATTATATTAAGGATGCTTACTATTTGCTCACTAATTTGTGGTCAAGCTTCCCCGCTATTCCCTCGCTAAGGGGTCGCAAAATATCCCTCTCTAATTTGTAGCTAATCCCTCGCTAATGTTCCCTCACAAACCCTTCTCTATTCCCTTGCTACATTTCTTAACTAAGGCCTTGCAATTCCCTCGCTGAAATCCCTCGCAGACCCTTCTCTATTCCCTCGCAATATTTCCCTAGCATTTATCTCACTATTCCCTCGCAATATTTCCCTAGCAATTGTCTCACTATTCCCTCGCAATATTTCCCTAGCAATTGTCTCGCTATTCCCTCGCAATATTTTCCTAGCAATTCCCTCGCTATTCCCTCGCAATACTTCCCTAGCAATTATCTCGCTATTCCCTCGCAATATTTCCCTAGTAATTGTCTCGCTATTCCTTCGCTATATTTTCCTAGCTATTTGCTCTTTTTTCCCTCGCTATTTTGTCTTTCACATGATATGCCTCGCTATTTCCTAGCAGATCCCTTACTGTTATGTTTTGGTTATCATCGCTAATCCCTCACTATTTTGTCGCAATTTTATTTTTAATATTCATTTATTCATCTTTACCTGCATTTTTATACTATAACTATCATAATTGTTTTATTTTGATATCAAGATTATAGTACCTGTATTTTGCATATCAAATACATTATTGTGTCATCAACTTGCATCAAATAAAATAAAAATACTAAAGGCTAACTAAAACAATTATGAATTACCAACATAATAAAAATATTCAGTACCAACTAACATAATAAAAATACTCAATACCAACTAATATAATAAAACTCTTCAAGTGAGTTAACAATGCTAATGTAAATAAAAAAAAAAACTAGAATTCAACATTTTCATTCTTGATTCTTCCCAAGTTTTTTGACTGATGATGGTGATGGCATCTTTAAGGCAGGTAATATCTCTTTCCTCAAAAATTGCATTTGTGCTTGCATTTGTTCCTGCATTTTTTGTTGCAAAAGTGCTTGCATTTCTGCTTGTGCCTTCATTTGTGCCTGTATTTGTGCTTGCATATCAAAATAGAGCATAATAATTCAAATAGTCATGAGAGCATACCAGCCAAACACAAAACTGGAAGCTAACAATCAAGGAACCCGTATTTAGATACTTATGTCATAAGAATATTGAACTACTTCAAATTTACAACCCCTGCCCAAAACCCTCAGAGGCCCTTTAAAAATTTAAAAGAGAAAGAAAGAAATCTTCCTGCTAGGTGAGTGTTTAAAATTTATTTGACTAAATACAAAGAATGTTAATTCATCAGCCAAGGATACATTTTAAAGCAACAACGCATGTTATATTATGAAATATTGTTACATTTTTAAGACCAGATATTCTTCCATTTCCTACAGTAGAAATAGAATACACCATTGTGGAAAAGAACCCATCCAAGTATATATAAATAAAAATAACTAATTTTATATATAATAAAAAAAATCATTAAATATATCTAACTTCCATAATTTCACATAAAAAAATATACATTATAATTCATAATAAATTTTTAAAAGTAGTTTTAGATTGAAAATAGCTGAACATTGAAAAAATTATACATTATAATTCAGTCTAAAATGAATAGTGAAAATTATAATTGACTAGAATAAATGATACGCTAAAGTTCTAAAAGTGCAAATAGCTGAACATTAATAAACTAAATTAATAGTGGCTCAAATATAGCCAAAATGATATTGAATTCGAGATTCAAGAAAAATAATTTAAAATGGTGCAATTCTCAAGAAATCAAGGTGTTATTGCAAGACTGTGGTTCATGTATATCTATTATAAACAATATAAGCACGCCTGATTGCTTTCAAGTTGGATAAGCACATAACCAAAATAGGCCTATCATTACAACCAGTGGTAAAAGCACCTATCATTACAACCACAGTGGTACAAGCAAAGCCTCAGTTGCATCATGAACTTAGTTTTTAAATAGAATACACAATGTATATCCACACAGCAGAATAGTTTCGTAAACAACTTCAGATGAGTTTTCTCAAATATTAAATCGAATGACCTGAATTGATAGATAATTGAAATAATTAAGCAAATCACCACTTTTTATTACTTGTCTAAACATTGCCAACCAACAGTAGAAATTGAGGAACAAAATTCATTGTTCGCTTTTTCTTGTGATTATTATTTATAAGATGCAATGGAATTTGAAAGGAAACATTAGCATACATTGTTCATCTATATTGGATAAGGAAGATAAAATAGCTTCTACTCCCAGATTTCAAGCAGTTTGGTAAAAAAAAGACTCTGCCACATGAAATATTTAATGCTAGTTTTCTTTCAGCATTTCAGGGGCATAGTATATAAATTTCACAAACTCTTAAAAGAACTTCAAAAGCATGAAAACACAATCTCTAATAGAATTACAACTCAAGATGATAAAAATAACATGCAATTGTCGTCATATTCACGAATTTTCAGATAGTTCCTCCCCTTTGTCTTCTTCTTTTGAGAAGATTGGTCACCTTTGGCAAAATGAGCAAACAGTTCAGTTTGCTGTAGGAGATAGTTCAATCGGCCCTTTCCTCTATTATTCTACATTCAATATAAAAATCACTCAATTCAGCCATCAAATTATAATAATGCAAGGAAGAAAAACCATCCCGAGTACAGTGAATAATTAAAAGACGAACCATATCAGCATCAATGGATGCATTCTGCGCGTCCAATATCTCCTGAATTTTTTGTTTCTTCAATTGCTGCATTTCTCTCAATTTGGCCTTCTCACGCTTGTTAACTTCAGGATCAGCATTACTCTCCTTCTAAAACGAAACAGTAAAAAACCACAAATAAAATGAAAACCACACTCCAATGAACAAAAACAGTGCGAAAATCGAAATCCCAAGCGCAAACAAAACCACAAGCGAAAACACCAAAATGCTGCACACGAAGACACAAAGCAAAATCCAAACGAAGTAGCAAGCAAAAACATCAAAACGCGGCACACGAAATTTGACGTTTAGGGTTTCTTCAATTGCTGCATTTCTCTCAATCTGGCCACGTAACCCCTCGCTGCGTTTATGAGAACGGCGGTGAAAGGTGTAAGCTCTCAGCTCTGGAAGGGTGAAGCTAAAATTGGGAAGATGGAAGATTAGAATATTGAAGCAATTGAGAAGAAACTGGAATGAGATGACTTACACTGCGAAGGGAGGGTTACGTTGAAGCAGTGGCGGAGCTTGAGAAAACTAGTGGAGTGGAGGGACAAAATAATTTTAAAAGGTGGAAAAACACGATAATATTTTTTTTTAATTTGATTAATAATACTACACGTGGGTACTGTACATTGCCTAATGCCTATTATGTAACTGTGATGTTTTGCTGCGGTTTACAAGATCATAATTTGCGAACGATTTGCGAGGGATATACTTATAACTCATTAGCGAGGGATTTACGACAAGAAAAAACCCTCGCTAGATGAAAAATTCATTTTTTTTTATTTTGGGTCATAATTTGAAGAGGGATTTGCTAGGCATTTGTGAGGGCTTCAATTCCTCGCTAAATAAGCACTAACTTTAGCGTAGGATTTGCGAGGAGATAAAGGTTGGTCGCAAAATATTCCTATTTAGCGAGGGATATAAA